GGACTCCACGCGAACTAGATGTATAATAATACCTAATCTAACTATTAATAAATGTAAACTTATCAGTAAATTTCTTTTTTTTATTAATTCATAAACTAAAATAAGATATTAAATATAAACATTTTGCTTTTCACAATTCAAGTAATCTTTAGCTAAAATTACTGCATGTTAGTTCATTAAAACATTGACTACATACCCTCATAATTTATAATTAAATGATGACTGTTATGTGATAGAATATTAAGTTAATCTAATGCATTAACCATTACAATATTTTAAAAGATTATCCTAATATCAGTTTTGATCATTTTCTGTAGTTATATGCTTCAAATTTAATCTATGTCACCTAGACATAGAATTTCACACATTTTTTCACCAGACAAAACAACATAAGCTATATCTCTAAACTAAAATCATATTGTCATAATCAAACATATATATTCTGAGGTTATAAACATGTCTGCATGCCATGTCAAAAAATATACAACACAAGATCCTCAACATACAACGCAATAGGCCATAAGCTCAAAATAGCAGCCCACAAAATAACCCTACAGGTCATCATCCATGTACATCGAACTCTGAAATCCCGTAAGAGCTCCACAACTAGCCGTGCTCTCTATATAGTTCCAGACTCACCTACAATGCAAGAACTATATAAGCCAATGCTTAGTAAGTAAAATTCACGCATGTCATGAATATGAATAATAATGATATATACAACTATGCTATTTACTTTAAACATCACGATAAAGAAGCATCATATTCAAATATTCATCAAAGTCGACTCGAAATTATTTCATTTCATAGGGCCCTTGACCCACCTACTATACATCGGATAGAGCTCTGCATAATATCAATATCAATAATCAAATGGTCAATATGAAATCGACACCTGCGAGTAGACCATCCTCTCGTGATCACTAGAGGTCCATTCCCTAACTATCCCTATGATCACCCAAGAAGTCTCCCATCTGGCGGCACTAATAATTATAATATCATAAGGGCACAATTGAGTGGTTCACCCTCTCATGATCACCAAAGGTCCATCCCCTATCTACCTTTGCAATCACTCAAGAAGTATCACTCGCGATGTCAAACATATTACATAAGTATGTCTCACATGCATCGGTGCCCTAATAGTGGTCAGTAAAACATTTATAAAGAAAACTCACTTTAAAATCATATTTCACATGCAGGAATTTCAACCATGATCACATGTCGTGCATGCATATGAAAATGCTCATGAATGATATATTTAATAAAAATCGATGTCAATAAGTTTCACAACCTCATACTCAACGATTATAATCATCATATGATGTGCTATAAGCTTCTTATCAAAGTTATGTAAATATTTTAACATTACCACATTACAAATACTAGGTTCTTGTATCGTAGTTGGAAATGAATTTTTACTTACCTTCCGCCTTTGTGTGTGCAAACTCCTACGGAGTGTATATCAATTTCCTTTTCGCTCAACGTCGAAAAATCACCTGTATTATCATCTAATATTAAAGACAATCCTCCATTTAATAACTTTAACACACACAATCCCGAAATGCATCCATTCACGCCAAAACAATTTAGATGAAATCATTATTTCAAGTTACCGATGGCATTACAAACTAATCCCATAAGTCTCACTATTTCTCAAGTCCAGTTATGAACGTCAATGTCATCCAATTGTTGTCGACAACCTAGTACTCATTAGAATCTATTTTCTAGGGCAAGAGATAATTAGTGGATGTGTAAATGTTGAAATCACATTAAAAACACAAATGGGCAGAACCTGTTTTCAGATTTTCATTACCGTCCAATTATTTTTCTAATCCTTTTTCACCTCCTTAACTATATCCAAAGACTCCCAAATTCTTACCACCCACCTATAACATATATATGAAGATAATTAGATCATAAGGTTGTAACAAATGAAGGGTTTTGAGCTTCAAAAACAGTACATTTTCCACTACAAAAAATCAGGTAGCTTTGTTTTCCTATGACTATTTTCGGTTTCCATTTTACTAGCATGTCACCAATCAGATTCTAGGCTATTAGAAGACCATTTCTATTCTTCTAACTCTCATACAACAACATTCATTTACATAGATACAAGTTATATCTTAAGTATTATCCAAAATCAAAGTTTAAACCATTCAAATCTAGCAAATCCTCATCTCTATCCAGATTACTTTCTTTTAAATTCTTGTAATTAATTACCCCTATTTTGGGATCATAAAATCGTTAACAACACTGCAAGCTAATCACAAGCAAGTTTAGATGTTCAATAAATTATAAATCCTTTAAGAAACAAAGGATACAAACCTCAAAATCGTGAAGTAACAAAGTTGTCCAGAAATTCCAGCTTCTTGTTTCTATTTCTCTTTGACTTTTTCACCCTCTTTTCACTTGGAATCACTTAGACACGAGCTAAGGGAGTTAATATATTATCTGTGAGGTAAATGAGTGATCTTTAAGTGGTTGAGGTCGCGCATATTGCTTAAGGGTGAAGAAAAATGTGAACAAAGGAAAAGTGTCCTTAAACATGAGCTGTCCAAGCATGATGTGTCATCTTTGCAGAAATACTTGACTTTCAACCATTATATTTGGATCCATTTGTGACCTTTAAGATATATATTCATCCTATATTAAGTTCTTAGGGAGTAGAGACGAGATTGATATCTTAAGGTTGAAGAAATTGAGTGTTAAAATGATAAACATCGTAAGCACGAGGTGTTCAAGCATGAGGTGGTCACTTGTAGTATAATCAGATTTTATATCTATCTTTGCAGGTACAAATCAAGTATCCTTGGCTTATTTTGACATGTTTATAATCCATTTCACTTGTCCTAAGATCCCAAATATATTATAGAGCTAATTCCTCAACTGTTCATTTAATTTCTTACCCGATTTACAATGATTATCAAACGATTTCAACAATTCGCACCTCAAAATTTATAACGTCATATGAGACATATATTATTACGTCGTGATCATGTCACTTCATGCATCATGTCCCAAATATGGCAATTACCTATCTATGGTTTAAAGTGACCTCGATCAGCCGAGTGGAAAGTTTGAACCTTTGTCGATACTAATTTCCGACCCTTTCGATTTTTCATTACTTACCAAGCCAATCTCCAACATTTAGTTAACTTAATTTTCTATCATAGCTCAATATAAAGTTCACCACCTAGGTCGAGGAGTCGAAGATTATCATCATGTAAAGATTTTAAAGACTTAATCATCGAATATACCGTTTTAAGATAAAGCAACTAGAAAATTGATGCAAATAACAATGTAATTAGCATGAAATACATGAATCATATTAGCCAAATATCTAACGTGAAGTTTGGGGTATTACAATATCTCACAACAAAAAGAGCTTCCCCCAGTATGAATCCAAACCTTGGAATTAGAACTATTCAAATGGTAAGTCAGTGCCCCAAAGGTCACATAAAGCAATTAAAAAGTTCTCTTTAAACAATAAAAGATGATAGTCTCGCAATTTGGAATGTGGGGGGTTGACTAAAAATAGTCAACGAATATTAAACTTGGTCCATTTTGCTTTAAAGCTCAACCTTTCGTTCTCAAATTTCTGTAATTACTTATTCTCAGAATTTTCAATAATTAATTAATTGTGACAATAATCTTTTCCTCATCTTTGACTTTTACGTCTATAGCTTTGTTCATCCTATCATTGTAGGAGTAAACTCGTCTCGAAATTTATTGTTCCATAAACATATATAATATTTGTGACTATAAATTATTTTATGAAATTAAAATCCAATAAAATTTAACTTTTTTGGGTTGACTTAAACAAAGAGAAACAAATAGAGCCAAGATTAAATAAAAACTCCGTGTAGTCCGAGCCACTGCCAACCAGCTTTGGTCAATATCGGCAGCCCGCTATGGATTAATACACATACATGTGTTGCAAACCTCCTGGTAGGTCCATCCTGCATTTATGATCAGTCGGTGTCGGTGATGGAATGTGCGAACTAAAAAAATTAAGAACAACTTTAGTTTTGTATTGAATTATTGTACGAAAATGGAGTTGAAAAAATTATTTTATGAAATATTGTTATCGTATTTATTAACAATAAATTTAGTGTGACAGTTTGCTTTATCCATCCATATCTAAGAATTTGTGTTGTTCTATTTAATTCGGAGTCTCAGAATATAACTACATAGTGAAAAATTCAAAAATGTGAGGATTTTTTATTTCTTTTTGGTAATAATTCGCATTGTATAAAAGTTTTCGATGATTAAAGAGAGAAATGGATTTATTTACTTATATTTTATATTTTCAAAAGGAAATAGATTTTGAGATATGTTTCAGTCATAAAATTAGAAGTACCATACATATTTTTGAAAGACAAGAAATAATACATTTTTCCCTTAAATATATGATTTCTTGTTAAAATTATGTTTGTAAAAAGACTTGCAAACACAATACTCGACATTGAATTATCTTATCTTGAAACTTTTAAAGAGGAAATAAATTTATTTCTCTATACTTTATTTTCGACAACTCACCTCATAGATTAGCAATTTTTCTTTTAGTTAAGATAAAAATACTACAAGATCAATTCATTCCAAATAAATCTACGTCAAAGTTACTTTCGTGAACTAATTAAAAATAATTATAATAATAACGGGTCGAAGTTACTTTCGTGAACTAATTAAACCAAAATTGAACTTCTCCAAACTCAGATTCTTCTGTTTTACTCCTTCATGGTAATTAAACATGACTTAATCACGTGTTTTAATTTTAAATAAGAAAATTATTTGTTAAGTTGTCATTTGCAAATTGCATGTTAGAAAAGTCCAAGTCCAAATTTTATTTGTTGTAATAAAAAAAAAAAACAATAATACTCTTTCCTTCACACAAACTGAACACACAAAATTTTCCGTGTTTTGACTTTGACATTTTGAATCTTTACCTCTCTTTATAGAAACATATAAAACCATATCCTCCTTAAACCAATCCACTCAACTCCACAAGAACTTCACTTTCTTCGATTTTCATCTATAGCTTACAAAATTTTTGTACTTCTCTACAGTTTAATTTTCTTGCTTAAAATTGTATAATCACCTTTTTCTTGGATCAGATCTTAGGTTTATCAAATCTTTGTAATTACTTCTTCTTCTATGGATGAAATTGAAATTCCATCCTACTTTCTCTGCCCCATCAGTCTAGAGATTATGAAGGATCCTGTTACGCTCTCTACCGGTATAACATATGATCGGGAGAGCATCGAAAAATGGCTGTTTTCTCAGAATAATAATACTTGCCCGGGAACAAAGCAAGTGGTTATGGATTCAGAGTTGATCCCAAACATTATTCTCCGGCGGTTTATCCAATCCTGGTGCACCCTCCATGCTCCAGAAGGCATCGACAGGCTCCCAACCCCGAAAGCTCCAATCAGTAAATCCCAACTTTTGAAGCTTTTCAATGATGCCAACTCTCCAAACAAGCAACTGAAGTGCTTACAGAGACTCAGATCCATTGCTTCTCACAACGAAACGAATAAAAGATGCATGGAAACAGCAGGCACGGCTGAGTTCTTAGCCTCGTTAATCGTGAAGAAAACCGTAGAGTCATCTTCAGCAGAAGTATCAGAAGATGTGATTGAGTTGAGAAGAGCAAGTGATGAAGCCTTGAGCATTCTCTATAATCTCCATCTATCGGGATCCGGGCTAAAATCCCTCTTGCAGAATAATATCGAGTTAATCCAGTCCTTAACGAGCGTCATGCAATCCGGGAGCTATGATTCTCGTGTCTATGCTGTCATGTTTCTGAAATCCGTGTTCGAAGTGGCTGATCCAAATCAATCGATCAGTCTCAGACCCGAATTCTTCCACGAATTAGTAGATATCTTGAACGATCAAATCTCTCGGAAGGTCTCAAAAGCCACACTGAAAGTTCTTATCAAGGTATGTCCATGGGAAAAAAACAGGATTAAAGCAGTGGAAGCTGGAGCAGTGCCCTTGTTGATTGACCTTTTACTCGATTCTTCTGACAAAAGGGCTTCCGAATTGATGCTTATGGCGCTGAATTTGCTATGCAAATGCGCTGAGGGAAGGGCGGAACTGTTGAATCACAGTGCAGGATTAGCCATTGTTTCGAAGAAGATTCTTAGGGTTTCATCTACAGCAAATGAGAGCGGAATAAGAATTCTACATTCGATATCGAAGTTCTCAGCAACTCCTGGAGTTTTACAAGAAATGTTGCAGATTGGAGCAGTGGCAAAATTGTGCCTGGTACTGGAAGTTCTGGAAGTTTTTGATCGAGGATCAAAGACAAAGGAGAGAGCCAGAGAAATTCTTAAATTTCATGCAAGAGCATGGAGGAATTCTTCGTGCATACCCGCGCCCTTGTTAGCTTCATATCCATCTTGAGGTGGAATTATAATTAGGCATAAAAATAATTAATTTAGTTGCATAAATAAATTTATGTTCATATAGTTTGAATTTTGATATGTTGAGGAACATATATATGGCAGAAAATACTCAATTTTATAAAGAGTTATTGAATCAACTTGAACTCTTTGGAAAGTAGAATTTTAGCTGGAAAGGTTCAGCTTCTTTTTCATCAATTTTTCCTTTGTCATTTCAGTGTTCACTACGGATTTCAATTTTTTGATAAATTAACGACTTATTGAATGAGTTTGAATTGAACAAGTTGACCGCAAACTCATATTCAAATAATTTTGCTGAGGAAACTGTCCATATCAATTGACTAGTAGTAAAATGAATTAAGTTTGACCAAAGTTTTAGCTAGCCAATTTGTAGATTTCTAATGAGATTTACAGTTAATCTATATACACTACGTCAGATTGTATGCAAAATAATATCTATTAATCGTTAGTATATTATAACGAAAATGCAAGGTGTATGGATGATGGTGATGGAATGAATAAATATATAAGCTAATAATATATGATATTTATGTTATTTTACTCATGATTATTTAATAAATAAGAAAAATGTGCTGTACGAAACATTTATTGTGGTGGTAATACAACCTCTCTTTAATTATTGCCTAGGAGTTGAATTCCCATATTTTATTTTATTTTTCAGTTCTAGAAATGAACAAAAATATTGATGCTTACGCACTTCATAATTTAATCGTATCTTCTATATAGTTTACTTTCTTCTTCTTACTCTCTATTAAATGAGTTGATTTTAAAGTTAAAATAAATTAATGGATCTCATCAGCCATATGAGACGATATCTAACGTTAGGAGAAAGGATGATTCCCGAGGTCTGTGCCAAGCGGGGTAAGGGGGTATTCCCTGTTTTTATTGAAACCACTTTTTGAAGTGAAAAAATCCCCCACTTCTCTAGCTATCCTCCCACAGCTGCCCAAGTCCAAGCACGGGATGAGACTTACCAATAGATCCTAGTGGCTCTGGGTCAGGAACTGGAACTGACTTAAGCATCTTCAATGCATTTCGTGAATTGATGGAGTGAAAGAAAAAAAAGTCAGTCTGATGGATTGTATGGGGGTAAACCTCCCAGCTGCATCGAGTTGATCGTGCATATAGGCCGATAAGTGGTGGATTTTATGATTTTGATGGAACGGTTAAACTAAGATAGGTTTTCGATCTTTTTACTCAAGGATAAAATAACTTTTGTAATATTATTGCTTAAGATAACTTTTACCATCTGTTTATTTTTATTTAATTTTTTTTTTAATTTTTAGCTTGGCCAAACAAAGAAGAAAAGGGAAATAGCAAAAAAACGTAGGAATAATTTGCATCCATGAGGGTGGTTTGTATTCGGTTTTGAGTTTTGAGTTCATTTTTCTGTTTTCTGTTTTCTGTTTTGAGGGTCTATTTTAAAATTTTTTAAAAACATATTTGGTTTATCATTTTAAAAATTTATTTTTCAAAATAAAAAACTAGAAAACACATTTGATTTGAATTTTGAAAAGTTATTTATGACATTTTATTATCATCTAACATATACATTTTAAAGTTGGTGATTCTTACAATGTTTTGTCTTGCTATCAAAGTAAAATAAAAATAAATAATAAATTGATTTTAAAATATGGAAAATAAAAATAAAGATTAACGATGTAGACTACCACACAACAGTGGAGAGGGAAAAGAAAAAACTCAATTGGGATCCAGTCGACCACACCACCCTCATAATCAACCCAACCTCGACTACCACACAATCCAGTCACTGAGCGAAGTTAACTTCAACAATGGTAGTTTTGTGATTATGAAATTGATTTTTCATATATAGTAAAGATTAAATTTAACATCTATTTAGTTTATTGTTTAGTATTTAGATAGATGCTTTGAGTGTAGACTAGATTTAAGTGATTTTTTGGGGCAGGGATCGCCTCATTTTCAGTTAAAAATGGAGAAAGCGGCTGTTAACAATCGTCGAACCCGATTGTTTAATATTCAATTGGGCAAAGCCAATTTTTTTGGACCGTTTTTTTCTTTATTTTTTACTGTTTATTAGAATTTTTCTCTTTATCATAATTTAATTTTTTTCAATTTTAAATAATATTCATATTCTTTATTTAATTTTTATAGTTTCTTTTTGTCTATTTTTTTTGTTTTATTATTACATTTTTTATAATAGTTTTAAAATTTCTTAGTTGTTTGCTTCATATTATAAATATTATTTTTTCAATTAAATACTTTTTCATTCTTTTCTTTATGATAAAGTTTAATTTTTCAATTTTAATTAAATAATGTTTATATTCTCTATTTAATTTTATAATTTCCTTTCGTTTAATTTTTTTGTTTTTATTTTTTGTAATAATTTTAAAATTTCTTAATTTTTTTCTTCTTTATATAATTTTTTTTTCATATTGATTTTTTTAATACTCTTGCTTTAATCTTGCTTTAATTTTTATATTTTATAATTTTCTTTAATTTATTTTTCCTTTTCTATGTTGGCCTTTAAATTTTATTTTATTTTATTTATTATTATTTTCTTCTTTTTAAAAAATATTCTGAATTGTTTTCTATTTGTCATAATTTAATTTTTTTCCCATTCAAAATGCTTTTTAATATTAGATCTTTAGTTTTTATTTTTATTTTTTATTTATTTCTTTAATTATAATTTTTTGTATATTTAATTCATTTAAATTTTTTTTATTTTTATCTGTAATTCTTATTTCTGTTTTTCCTTTAATTTATTAAATCATTTCTTTTTTATTAGCGTCGATGTAAAATGAATCTATTTCTTGCATACAGTAGTTAAAATTCAGTTTGCTTAAATTTCTGAAATTATGTTTTATTCCATTATTTCTTGTAGAAGGTTCTAACATTTGAATTTTTTTAGGATGGAGTACCATCTCGATCCTGAGTTGAGGCAAATGGCAAGTAAATGTACTTGAGACAGTTGCTTTGATAGTTTTATTACTATATTGGAGTTGCTCGAGGATCAACATGGAGATATGCTACGCTAGTCCTTCATGTGGCCTCGATATCAGTTGAGAAAGGTGAACTATTCTAGATAGATTATTGATGTATTACTATGTCAACTGCTTAGGTAAGTCGATGACAAAACAACATAAGCTATATCGCTAATTTTGTTGGGAATTTACTTATCATATACAGCGGAATAAAAACAAATTTCAATTCCTATCAGGAATCATCTTTATATTTAGATAAGAATTGTGATAAAAGTTATACCTTTTTGAGATCTGCAAACTCCTTTACTTTTTCCTTGTTTCAGCAGCCTTAATCTGCCACCCATACTTATCCAATTGTCCAGCCTCCAATAGAATTCCCCGCACAGAACAGATTGTAGCCACCAGAATTTTCTTCTTTTGTGCTAGCAAGAATTATGAAAATCTCTACAAATTGAAAACCCTAGTCATGTATTCATATAAGCCCAAATAGGCTTGGTCCGGCTCAGTCCAATATTTAATTAAATCCAGTTCGTGAATTAATTAATTAATTCATGCCTATAAATAACCAACTCAATTAATTAATTTATCGAACGATTGTTAAATTAATTAATTGGCAAATTACAATCTTCCAATTCTCTTTTTGTGTGCCACCTATTAGGTTCTTGATCATGATGCTTAATGATGTGAAATATTATTTTGATCTAATCAAAATTGATAAATTAAAACACCCTTTTAATTTATTACCAGTTTACACTCGCTGTGCCAAATTGACATCTAGTAATGTATCAGGACAATGCATGTGATGGAAAATGTCACGTGGTATGACAAAACCAAGCTTGTTCATTTATCGTGAAATTATAATCCATTCGTCAATATGATCCGATCAATTACGAGATATGAAAGTGTGTCGATCCCGATTATTGATCATATCTTTCATTCCACTGTTAAGTCAATATAAGTCAAAAACTCATTTTCAACTTTTGAGTACACATTGGTCAAGAATTTCGTTATTGACTTAATTGAATGAATTGTGAATCATAATATCTTACTATTTAAGAGTGACGAATCATCTATTGGTCATTCACAACCTCCATATGATTCTTGACATACCCGAGTGATGTCGTATTAGCAACCCTTGGCAGAGCAACATCCAACATTGCCAAAGTATGATTGCCCTCATATAAGGCACTATAATGACCTCAAGTCAAAAGACCAATTTCACCACTGAACTTTAGAGATTAACCACTAATACTCAGATAGTTATCCTTATGGAATCTCCCAGCGGATCTCCAATGTTTTTTGTTCTATACGAAAACATGCACACATTCATTTAAGTGTCACCATACTTTAACTTTTGAGATCAGCTACTTATATCACAAGTAAGAAATATCACATCCAACATTGTCAAAGTATGATTGCCCTCATATAAGGCACTATAATGACCTCAAGTTAAAGGACCTATTCCACCAATGAACGTTAGAGATTAACCACTGACACTCAGATAGTTATCCTTGTGGAATCTCCCAGCGGGTCTCCAATGTTTTGTTCTATACGAAAACATCCACGCGTTCATTTAAGTGTCACCATACTTTAGCTTTTGAGATCAGCTACTTACATCACAAGTAAGAAATATCACACGTGATAATCTATTCCTAATAACGATATCCGTATCTCGTCATTATTTACGACCATAGATTATTTAAGATCCTATTATATGTAGTTTACATCTCACAATCACAACTCATTTTGATTAACAAATTACTGAAACTTGAATCTTCGAACTCTATTATTTATTCATCAGAATATTAATTTAAATAAATAATAGATCTTGCCAAAAATAAATGAATTAAACATATTAAAAGTGTTTACAACTTAAATCGATTGAATTTAGGGCGTAACATTTACAAACTCCCACTTGCACTTGATCCAATCACTCATGTAGTTAATACCATAAGCGTCCACATGACGATCATGTTTCTGTTGTGACAATGGCTTTGTCAATGGATCTGCAATATTATCATCTGTGGGAACTCGTTTTATCTTTACGTCATTTCTTTGTATAATCTCCCTGATGAGATGATATCGCCTTAACACATGTTTGGATCATTGATGAGACCTTGGTTCCTTCGCTTGTGGGATGGCTCCATTGTTATCACAATATAAAAGTATAAGATCAACAATACTAGGAACAACTCCCAGTTCATTAATGAATTT